TCTTAGTTTTAAAAAGCAAGAAAATGCCATTTTTGACAAGTATCACACAGCTTTTCAATATGTAAAACGAGAGATTACACAAGAAGTTATGTTAGAAATAGCAAAACATTGAATTTCCTGCAGGCTGCTAATTTATGTGTGCGTGAGACTTCTTTTCTTCTGGTCTGTTGGAAAATTGTCTTTACAAAAAATATTTCTACTAAAATTTTAATATTGATTATAATATCAATTAGCTCTAAAAGTTGAGGGGCCGCACTTTGTGGCTATGGGGGCCGCATGTTTGACACGGCTGTGCTAAGGTATGGTCTCAAGGTACAGTACTGGACTATCATTCAGCAACTCCGAGTGTTATACACCAATGTCAGAACGCTTCAGAATGTGCACACTCATCTCCTACCTCCTACAACTCATGACAAGGGCGGATCCAGTTTCCGAAACGCTGGCAGTTTTAACCATAGCACAGGTAATGGGCGATGTTCGACATATTTTATTTCCATAAATATAGGCCATCAGTCATAACACGAGGTGTGACACTTGGAGAGGGAGGAAGGGATGGAAACAGACGTACCTGCTGTGTATAGCAGAAGCTACTGGCCACTAGGATACTTGTGTAGTGCTCAGCCGAGCTGAACTAAAGCAATTGTGTTTGTATCTCTACAGAGAGAAACATTATTTCAGCAGTGAAACTGACACTGAGTATAATAATATTATGCCTGATGAAGACAGTAACATGGAGCTTGCACAGCCACTATAGGGTCTGTACTGAATGTTTTGACTCAGGTAGTAGTTGCTGATTCATGCTGCTGCTCCTGCTGCTGCGCCTTTAATGGTCCAGACTTGTGCGTTCCTCACAGCTCTCAAGATTAGACTCTTGTACGTCATCTATGCAACAGGAAAGTAATCTTTACGAGTTCTGCTTGTTAAAGGGCAAGAACATAGGTTTCCGTTGGTCGCCTGCACAGAAACATACCTTGCTCTGTGTTGAACAGTTTTCCCGTACATTTACTCATTTTCCGGTTTATTTAACGACTCATTAGCCTGGGTCATACAGCGCCAGATTGTAGGATGTTTTTGAACAATGAATTAAAAAAATACACGGAAGGGAGTGGCCGTGGGCTAATATGAGGTATGACACCGAATATGCCTTGACAGATCGAGGAGGACTTCTGTCAGCCTGTCTCCGGGCCGAGATTTGAACACTGGACCTCCCGAATACGAAACAGCGGTCAACTTGACCACGATACGACGATCGGTTACTCCAAGTACACAGCTGCAGGATTCACAATCATTCGACACGACGAGGAACCTTATTTGTAACTTCGCAGTACGCAACTGCCAGCTTGCTGGTTGTTTGGTATACTTTCGGACCCTGAACATGGAGGCACAACTTTCCTCCGAGACCTCATGAACTTCAATCCCAGAAGATCGTACTCTTCACTGTCGCCGCTGAGAGAACCTCAAATGCATCATGGTTTTCTAAAAACCGAATTTTCTCTTTACATCGACGAATACTTTGTCGAATCTGTAAAACAAATAGTAGGTACATAATCTGTAGTTCCATCAGGAGCATACGTCGTCTATACTGCACACATCGTAGACAAATGAAGAAAGCTTATAGACTCTACAAGCTTTTTCCATTGGTCCCGAACCGCCACTAAAACCTCAGCTCACTCCGACTTTTTCCAGTTTCTCTCAGAATGGATCTCCTCCAGCTGTTTCTCGGTTTTCTCCTTCCTCTATTTCCTTGAGGACTTCACTGGACCGCGACATTTGATGGCTCTTCATCATCCACCTAAATTTTCGTTTCCTATCTCAATATTTATATCTGCTTGGCCAGATAAACTGCCAGAGCTCTCCATTTGCTATAAAATAAACATGACCGCAAAAATTCGTAGTAAGAATTACGAGTACTTCCTCTGCTTTCACCGAACAAAAATAGAATGCCTGTTAAGTACAATCAGTTGCAGAGTGACATACGAATTACGTTTCCTCTTGTTAATACTGAAGCAAGAGAACAATGGAGTAGCATCACGCGATATGTTTTCACTTCCTATTGCAGTAGGCGTGCATGCATTAACAACATTCTTGTCTTATCATGCAAACAGTTTATACCACGATATAAAGAGAAAATTCCCTACCACTTAGAGAACAATAAAAATGACAGAATATTACCTCGAAAGGAAAAAAATTATGAAATACGAGACATCTGCATTCTTATCGTTTCTTTGTTATAATTTGATTGTGAAAGTTCTATTATCATGACGAAATAATGAAATTATGTAGGTAGATACTGATAAGGGGATAAGATAAGGTTATGAAGCACACACAAGTCCATAGTCGAGACTAAAGACAAATCACTGTAATGGGACACAGTATGTTTCCTGTAAGGCAGAAACTAGATTCTTAAAAACAATTTAGAAGAAATTTGTGTTTTAAGGGCAATAACCAGTTTATCTACATAATGCTATCTATGTCCAGTTTACTATGGAGGAAAGGCACCCATTCTCTTTAGGTCATGCTGTCCGCTTTAAATTAACCGAGTTTTACACGTTAACAGAAATTAAGGCCAAACAAAGTTCAACAATATAAGGCTAGTTATCTTTGTGCGTGGCAAGACCCATTAAAACGACCCAAGGCCTCCCGTCTTTTGGTTTCGGTGTCTCATTTACAAGAATCGGATAGAATTCCCTGATTGGTCCACCGTACGGCCACTACGAATACTTTTACCCCCCACTGCGAAAACAGTGATTCATTTCGTGGTACGCATATGGGCACTCCAAGGTCATAAGTAATGTTTCTGGGAAAAGCTCTTAACGCAAAATTTCGTAATGCGAATCGCCATCTCCTAAGGGCGCAATGTTATAACTGGAGGTTACATTCCGAACGACACCCCCCACCCCCCCAAATGGAAATGAATTGTACTGCCTGAAACTAGATATATAGCTATAGGTACGATTTCAGGTTTTCACGGCAGGGACTATGAAGAATGCCGTCTTTTGGGATGTGGCGCCGTATAGGTCTTGTGTGAACCGACGTTTCGGAGGAACGTATCGCCTTCTTCTTCAGGGTAGTAAAATCCGCGAGCGAGGAACCTGCGTGACCAGGTTGCTGCAGACTGAGATATATAAGCATCGGGAACATAAGAGTCTGCTATAAAATACAAGTACAAAGTATAATTAAATTGATAACAAAACAAGATGCATACCAGGGCGACGTTTCTTTCGTTTCCGTTCGCATGTTTTCGTTCTTTTCGGACGTGCCATAGATGTTTTGAAAATGTGGCACAGTTCAGATATTTGGAACAACGATAACAGATCGAAACCTGATTCCAGAGGAAATTAAGAGGCGATTGAACTCGGGCAATGCTTGGTACCCTTCAGTCCAGAACCTTTCGTCTTCTCGTCTGCTGTCTAAAAACATAAAAATTAGAATATACAAAACTATAATTTTGCCTGTGGTTCTGTATGGGTGCGAAACTTGGTCTCTGACATCAAGGGAGGAACATAGACTGAGGGTGTTTGAGAACAGGGCGTGGAGAATATTTGGACCGAAGAGAGATGAAATGACAGGAGGTTGGAGAAAACTGTATAATGAGGAGCTTCATAACTTGTACTCATCTCCAAGTATAATTAGAATGATCAAGTCAAGGAGGATGTGGTGGGCAGGGCGTGTAGAACGAATGGGAGAGACGGGGAATGCGTATAGGATATTGGTGGGAAAGCCAGAAGTAAAGATACCACTGGGAAGACCAAGGCGTAGATGGGTGGACAATATTAAAATGGATCTTAGAGAGATAGGATGGTATGGATTGGATTGATCTGGCTCAGGATAGGAACAAGTGGAGGACTCTTGTGAACACGGTAATGAACCTTCGGGTTCCATAAAATGCTGGGAATTCTTGAGTAGCTGCAGAATTGGCGGCTCCTCCAGAAGGGCTCAGCTCCATGAGTAAGTAAGTGATTTCGAATGCGTTCGCGCTCCGATGGCAAGTCAGGCCGAAGGTACGGGCGGAATTTCGTAATGCGAAGACCACTGTTTCTAGGCCGTGACATCTAATATCTTTACACCCCGCGTGACGAACTTTGAGCCGTGTTACTGCTGTATTACTGTTTGCCTCACTAAGAGAAATGTATACAGTAAACCATCTCTAATCCGGATTAATTGGGGATAGGTCATCCGGATTAATCGATAATCTAGATTAATGAAGCAAAATATGGCCATAAGAGACAAAAAAAAAAGTTAGAAAACAAATAAATGGAGAATTTAATAATATAGGTCGTACTGATGAAAAAAATTACAAATATCACTGCAGCAATTTGATCCTTTGTCAGAAGTTGAAACCCAGGATCTCCTTTAGCCAGCTCAAACCAATGTTGGATATTTTCTTGCGTGGTTTCAGTCTCTCCAGCTGCCCTCAACACAGTTTGGAAGTCCTCTTGCTCACTAAACGCACGTGTCTTTTGAAGTATAAACTGAACTGTGAACAGCATTTTTCATTTTTCATATTTCAATGCTGATTAACTGTAACCGGATTAGCGAGAGTTTACTGCAGTTTCTGGTCACAGCAGTTCAGGGGCGCCGACNCATACTTTGAATCGCGACCTTCTGAGAGGCACAGACCTACTTTATTATGAAGGTTCTCCGAGTTCTCAGGAATTATTGAAAACATGGTTGTATCTACGAACAGTTTCCGCCAAGTCGGTACGATGTAGCTGCGACCACAGGAAGATATCGCGAATTTTTTCATACTGTAGATGAAGACAGGTTGTAAAGCTGTTTAGGTGCTTCAAAGAGTCCTGTGTTATGGGACATAACGCCGAATAGATTTAAAGTCAACCGACGTTTCGGAAGATCATATAGCCTCCTTCTTCAGGGTCTAAGACTAAGCCAATCAAGAAAGCAGTATGAAGCAGACTGCTTAAATTCCTGCTGGAAAACGAAGTGGAAAGAACGTACAATTTCCGTCTAGTATTAATACTTCCCTACTGTTGGTAACTTACGTCATCAGCGGGAAATTCGTAGCATTCTGCAATCTTCTGGTAGAGCTCACGGACGTTAGAAAATCCCGTAATTAACCCGGTTGGGCTTCCATGTGCTTGCTGACAATGGAAAACTAATTTCGGACGTCCAACTGATGAATCTGCAACTTTTTCTGGTACTGTCTTGTTTCCATTTTGATGATGAGGTTTTGTATCACTAACATCACCATTTGTTTCTGGGGAGGGATTACTTTCTTTTTTACTTGTACGCTTTTTGAAAAGGGACATTTTCACCAGTTCTTTGTAAACACTTCTCGGTCACAATTATTCACTACACACGCCCATTCAACGTTTAAACTGTACGTGATGCACCGCTCTGGCACCGAGATTACTCAATAGATATGATACAAAATCTTATCTCTCGAGTGTATTAGCACCGTATATTTCAACGATACCATTCTACTGGCCATAAACGAACACTACAAAGTTCACTTGCGCACGAAACAACGCTACCTTTACCTGCGCCATCTGCTTCTACACACAAACAGACACCTGCCGCACCTGACCACTCTGAAAGCATTGCAGTACAATATATTCCCTTCGGCTGATATGTACAGTTGCCGACAACGAATATGCAATGACGTCATGCATCCATTATCATAAAAATATACATATTGCTGCCATCTATCGGCCACTAATTTGGAACTACTTCGAATTGGAAGCATCCGCAGCCAAGAGCTCAGTAGATACAATGGTTTAACATGCTGTGCCGTCACTCATACATACAAACTTCTTTAATTTTTTATTCTATTATTTTGAAAAAATAAATCATATACAGGGATGGACAAAAATATGGAAACACCTCGTGGAATGCATGCTTGAATTCAAGTGTTTATTTTAGCGACGTTTGTAGGTGACGCTGTCGTTTCTGCCCAATACCACTACCTGTACAATCTCCGCAATGCGTTGCAAGCTTTATTTGTTGTCGAGACCGTGCTCTGTGCAGTTTTTAGTGCATCATGCCAGAGCTATCATTTTTTTATTGTTAGTGGGGTGGGACCGGTGGGACTAAGTCCCTTGTACTGCTGCCACTTCTGGCCTACTGTACCAGCCTCAGATGATAGGTGAGGGTGATTGTGGAGCAATTGGTGGAATGAAGATTGGCAGGGGAAACCGAAGTACTCGAAGAAAACCTGCCCCAGCGCCACTTTGTCTACCACAAATCCCACTTGACCAGACCCGGGATTGAACCCGGGCCGCCGCGATGGGAAGCCAGCAACTAACCGCTTCAGCTATGGCGCGGTCATGTCAGAGCTAACAGAATTCTAACGCGGAAAAATTGTTCAGGCCCGTATGGTGGGTGCTTCCGTAACCAAGGTAGCCGAAGTTTTCGCGAGGCACAGTATCCAAGATCATGACCGCATACAGGACTGTAAAAACCGTATCCGATAAACACCAGCGTGGACGGAAATGTGTGTTGAGTGATCGAGACAGACGAACACTGCGTTGGATTTTAACGAAAAATAAGAAGACTACAGCTGCAAAAGTGACTGCTGAACTGAATGTCACGCTCACAAACCCTGTCAGCTCCAAAACAGTATGAAGGGAACTCCACAAGTAGGGTATTTCTGGACAAGCTGCAATTCCAAAGCCACTCATCAGTGATCAAAATGCCACTAAGAGGACAGTGTGATGCTGAAGTCATAGAAAAATGGCCCAGGCAATGCCCATCCGTACCCCTGTACTTACTTATTTATGGAGCCGAGCCCTTCTTGAGGAGAAGCCAAATCTGCAGCTNATTACTCCGATGGACAAACCACTTCTTCGGAACAATTTGTTGGCCCTGAAAAGGGCCGTGGTTGCTGAGATGATTGACCGGTGAGGTAGCGCGGCGCGCGCCGGTAAGNCCGCATCCTATATCTGTAAGATCCATTTTAATATTGTCCACGCACCTATACCTTGGTCTTCCCAGTGGTATCTTTCCTTCTGGCTTTCCCACCAATATCCTATATGCATTTATCTTCTCCCCCATTCATGCTGCATGCCCTGCCGATCCCGTCCTCCTCATCCTCCTTGACTTGATCATTCTAATTATACTTGGGAGATAAGTACAAGTTATGAAGCTTCTCAGTATGCAGTTTTCTCCAACCTCCTGTCACTTCATCTCTCTTCGGTCCAAATATTCTCAACACCCTGTTCTCTAATACTATGTGGGGATGTCTNCATTTATCTAGCATATACAGTGTAACGGTAATATTATAAAGTTTGACTGATAAAGAAATAAAAATATTTTCATCATTTTCTAGTATTTCTTTACATATCACTGTATTACTATATACTAGGTATGTGTGAGTCTCAAATTTCTGAGAATGAACTGAGAAAACATTGCAAAATCTTGATCTGAACATTGATTTTCAGCACCAAATTCATTCCTGTTACTCCCACTTGGAGCATAGGGCATCTATGAAACACTTCACGTCATATCATTTTCTTATTCTTAGAAAGTGTTTTTCAATTTTGATTAGGTTTTTTAATTTTGGTTTTATTTGGATTTCCATAAGGTTTGTTGGTGGGTTTTGGTTAGTTTAATTTGCATACATCAGATCGATCTTAAATCACTAATCGCTTATTATTCCACTGCTCATATGGGAATTGTTATTGATGGTATTATGATTTTAAGTAAAGCTGCCCCTGTAACATGTCACAGAGGCCCATAGGATTGTGAGACGTCAAGTCTCCCACATTTTCCAGACAATCAGCTCACAGATGGCAGTGAGGTTGTCAGCATTATGCACCGGCTGCCCTTTACTCCCAGGAATATTCCTATTACTCATTCCTGTGAGAGGCTGAGTCAACCCCAGGGCCACAGCGCAGCTGGAAGGATTAGATCAAACAAAAAATCCAATTACCTCATTAGGAATCAAATGCGTGACCTTCCAGCTTGTAGCATAGGCTCAGCAAAGGATTAACCACTAGAAATTAATCTTTTCAGCTATAGTACTAATTATTTTTCTCAAAAATATTGTGACGTGCTGCTGAAGGCCGGACAATAAGACGTCCATCACTGGTCAACGGCTAGCAATTCCTAGATAGCAACGCAAATGTAATTTTTTTTTGTAATTAAATTCAATCATACACCGTTTGATAATGTGTAGAGCGAACACAAAGTGCACTTTTTCAGTGTCATATACAATTTCTTGAAGATGTTTTACCATTTAAAACGGTGAAGCCTGTTGTCTTCTGAAATTCAATGCTGTATTGTCCAGCAGAAATTCACCAATGTTGCACAGAAATATCCTGCCTTCATCTTCAAAAGGATAGCAGAACTGCTTCCTTAGCATACTCTTCAACCCTGAAGATGGATGCAGTATGTTCCTCCAAAATGTTGGTGAACTTCTACCAGGCTAAATATCATCCAAGGACATGGATCTCTTCACAGTCATCATCATGAAAACCTCAAGTTTAACACAGTTAAGACTGGGTTTCTCCTCTTTAATGCAATGACATTATATTTTTCTCTATGTGAGGAAATTCTGAGAGAAATACCAAATTTGTAGACAATATATACTTAATGGAGCGGAAAATAAGGATCTGGATATAATTTTATGTATTAAACTAATGTATTTTTCATTACTGCTTTAAAGTTCAGTTACATCTGTCGTATAAAAGACTGGGGACCTTAACATGATTGTGGTAAACGTTAAAAATGCATAAAAACAATAGCATAAAACCAAACTGTAATGAAACAAAGATCATGTTACATGTACAACTATTTTATAGAACAATGGAAATGAGTATCAGCTCTGCATACTCATTACACAAAATTTAAACCTGCTACACTCAATTCTTGAGGCCCAACTCTCATGCATCTGGTAGCCTCTGACCATAGACTGGGCAGGTAGAGAAATTCCACAAGTTCATCTATTCCTCCTCCAAATCTTCGCTCTCAAGAATCATCTTGAATGAAAATGGTTGGAAGACATAGCCTGCTCCTTCATAAAACTTGCTCATGAACTCCACCCTGTCAACAAGTATCATTAATCATTCAAATAATCATGAACAGTACATGCAGTCTTCTTGGTTATAAAAGAGACAGCCTAACATTTCATAGGAATATATAACACATTTATACTGCAATCTTTCAATTAATTTCACAAAAATATTTATGTTTAATGGCATGCTGATGAATTAAACGAACATTTACAGCTACTTTCGACAATCTGATTGACACATATTGCATTAGGAATCCGTAGAGAAGTACAGAAACTTCTGTGAGGGTGAATCAGTAAATAGGTCACAAACGGATATAAACTGTAAAATGTGTGATATTCAAAACAGGAAAAGAACATTTCTTTCTCGATATATCCTCCACCAACACTGATACACTTGTCCCATCACCTTAACAGTGCATCAAAGCCCGCAGCATAGAAGTCTTTTGACTTCTGCCTCAGCCAATTCTGCACCTTTGTTTCAATCTCTTCATCATCTGAGGAACATTTGCCACAAAGATTGAACCACTTTATGTGACAAACACTTCTCACCATAAACATGAAACATTTATTTATAAGTATCCTTTGCATTGAGTCCTTTTGCCCGTAAAAGATGCACAAGAGAACGCTGCTCTTCGGTAATATATTCCTCAAGCATGGTCGTCATTTTGACTACTGAAACCAGCCTCTGATCATGAGCACAAGTGTCTGCTACCTAAACTGTCATGAAGCTGGCCTGTGCTGCTACCTAGTGAGACACAAAGAAAACCTATTACATCAATTACAACCGTTTTACTTCCATTTGTGACCTATTTACTGATTCTCTCATTATATACTCGTATTTATACGTAACTTGATGGCAAAAGACCGGGGTTTTCCAACCATGGTTCATCGAGGCCTTTTAGGGCGAACACTAAAGCTCTGAATCACGCATATTCAGGAGAGGGAAAAAAGAGTGAGAATAATTCTGTTGCAGAAGATATCAGTGGCAACTATGGTCTTTTTCAAGCAAAGTTTAATGTGAATAATATAACAGAGAAACGTTAGTATAAGTTACTTCATCAACAAGTTTCATTATTTCTTTCTGTAGTATGTTAGGAGACCCATCATTCAAATATCCATTCATTACATACATCTGCACCTTGTTTAAGACCCTACATACCAGTGCAGTCGAAGTGTGTGAAGGAAAGCAGACAATCCCTCCATCATGACTAGGATAGCCAACGTAAGCACTGCCCAGGCAGCAAACACAACATACAGAATAATACCGCCTGCCACATATGATCCAGCATTACCCTCTGCAGACCCGCTAAGTCCATTGCTCAGGACCATTGTCCACAACACTTCTGACAACTCTGCAACAGCCAAGATAATACTCTTAACTTCAAAGAACCTGCACTAGGTGACATGTGCTTCCCTTTTGACTTCTGGGGACTATGGGGGAAAGCACAAGGTTTTAGTCTGTGTAGTAACAACACATTAACACCCTTGTTCTATTTGGCATATGAGAAAGAAGGCAAACGTCAGGCAGCCAAATGTCAAAGAAAAACATCTATCAGACTATAATGATAATCATTTTCAGGAAAATACTGTTTCAAGGTTTTCAGCAGGATCACAAGCCAAGAAGAGATCAAGTACTCTTAATATTACGCTGCTTTTCCATCTTGTGATCAGATCATCACACTGTCTGGAGCTGTGAGATAAGAGAAATTGAAAAGAAATCTGATATCCCTGTAAAACTATAATCATAAATAAAATTATCCAACTATATACTAGAGAGCAAACAAAATGTAATTAAAAAATGCTGAAGTAAATGCCTCTATAGATTTGAACGAAAGTTACCTGAGTCATGTACCAAAGTACACGTATAAAAAGATTTATCCATTTAGTTGACTCAATATACAGAAATATTTTTTACCTTGAATATTAAAAATATGTTTTTATTTATAATTTAATCACACTTTTAAGAGATGAATATGGAATTGGCATTCCATATACTTGGATTATGACTGAAATCCACCTTTTCTCTTCATCAATGGCTGACTGCATATTACCTTGCGATACAAGAGGCCACACATTTTCAGTTCTTAGTTTTGGTAAATCTTAAGGGTTTTTGTACAGGAACTCTTTCTTTCCTAACATAGTAACATAACAGATTTAAACTTGGTGAATGTGGTATCCATTCTGTGCTTCTGAAAAATTCAAACTATAATGTCATCCAACACTTTCAAAGAGAAGATAATACAAATGTACACATGACTATTTTTTTAACATTGAAAATATTTTTTCTGTGTAACAAATCAACCCAACTGATTACCTTTTCATATATACATTTCAATATGCTCTTCATAATTTACATGAATTTCATTCAAATCCATATAGCTGTTCATTTTCAACCCTGTTCCTTGTGTCACCTAGTATAAAAGTATATAGGAGCCATATTGTTTAGCTAATTTCACCCACTTACGTGCATGTGCTAATGAAAGAGCCCAAAGTCGCAAGTAAGAAGCTGTGTGTGATATTGTGCTCAGTATATATTCAATGGTGTGAATTGCTTGATGAATAAAAATTTCTCCCATTTGATGGTCCCCTTCGTTATGTTCTGTGTGAGCAGGTGAGGAACTTGGGGCTTCAAATGTTTCCGGGGTTAGTTCCAGCCCTTGGTTAACATCACCATTTTCCGATATCTAAAAAGAAACATACTAACATATCATTTCGATCACAAGGACCTGAACTACATCAGTGCATAAGAAGGTTCACTACAAGATAAATAACATACTGTTTAAGCCCAACAGCAGAGTCTGAAATGAAGCACCAGATTAATACTGATAAGTATTTGACAAATTGAACTGAATCGCCTGTTCTCTTGCCAGCACAGTGGGTGCAATGTGAACTATCTTATGATGCTGTCAACACCCAGACCAGTGTTCCTCAATCACTGGTCACAGGCTGAGTCGACCCCAGGGCCATATTGCAGCTGGAAGGATTATGTCAATTGAAAAATCCAACGGCCTCTTTGGGACTCGAACCCATGACCTTCTGGCTTGTAGCATAGTGCCTCAACCAACTATGCTCCTGTGTTAATAAAACATGAAAGAAAAAGAGAGAGCGTGAGAGAATTTTGAAGTGAAGTGATGAAAGTTGAAAGAAGCATGTGGCACTCAGTACTATACACTCCACCAGACGGCAGTTTCCAGTGTAAAACAAAGGTATCATTTCCAGATTTCAATGTTTCTTCTGATGAAGTGACTTATACATTTAATGATACTCTCAATCAACACAACTACGTGTACTGGGTCACAGAACATTCAAACCTAACAGAAGAGCAAGCAGTTAATTTACCACGGACATCAGTGGAGTGTGGTATGTCTTCCAGAGAGATGTTATATCACTCTCTTCAACGCCACTGTCAACAGTTCACTGGTGCTGCTGGTGGTCATTTCCAGTATTTGTGACTTTAAGGTAACCAGCACAAGAATGGGTTAACATCTGTCCACTTCACTTGTAAAAAATACACATTAATAAAGTGCATACATATTCTTTTTTTTTGGGGGGGGGCACTGTACAACTTTTCTGCAAGGCTGTGTTATTAAGTACCTCTTTTACATATCAGATTATTGAATTCCAGCATCCTGTTGCATTAATATCAATTATTTCATCAATGTATATTTCTGTCATAATGCAACATGAGGTATTTACAGTCACTTTATTCATGACATGTTTTGACTGCTGAAGATTATGCTCATAGATCCCACAAGAAGATCAATACCTTTTTTACTGAATTTAATGTGGTACCTATTTTAATTCAAATCTTATTCACAATTTTAATTTTAAAATTGAGACAAGCAGTGCAGTGCACAGTTTAGCATAACGAGGACACCTGATGTTGGCCGTATATAGCCAAAACATGTCATGAATAAATATTAAAGTGACAGTAATAATCTTGCATTGTACTGTGACAGAAATATATATTGATCAAACAACTGGTATCAAATTATGCTTAAGGTATGAATAAAGGAGTTATTTCAGAAACTTACGTGTTCAGACTTTTTGCTGTGCCCACAACAGAGAAGATATATAGGCTTGCCTAGTAGGAGTACGGGAATGCACAACAAGGCAACAACAACAAATACATATTGTATTAGATCTTGACCATCAAACATAAATTCTTGACAGCCTTCACCTGTAGGAGGTGAACTCTTGAAAAGCATCATGTTGATGAACAGAATGAGGACGGAGGGAGCACACGATGGCCCATACCTAATGATGTCCACTGGAAACAATATAATAACTGTACTAATATTTCACCATATTTCAGTCATTGTCTTGACTTCAAGCCAGCGCTGACTGCCATCGTTTCAAAGACATGGTCAGCCACTCTGCTCACACCATGTCTCCAAGATATTTTAAGTTGGCACTATGCTTGTGTTTATACCTTAGCTTGTCGTCAATGGATGACAGTCTTATTCTCTCTTGCTGCCTTTTATTGACTAAAAATGCATTTTATTTATCAATATACTTAGAAAACATTTACATTTTCTCTAGTATTCTGCTATTTAAACACAACTGCAAAGAAATACAAAGTTCCATGTAAAGAAGTATCTTCAAGGAGTTGAATTAACCTTTAAACACCGGACTTTTGAAATGCTGGTAAGCTTGAGCTGGCTGGAGTTTATTTAAATGCCTGCTGCTGGTGTGCGTTTAAATGCCCGTTGTTACTCTGCGTTTAAATGTCCATTCCTGTTAAGGGACTTAAACAATTTTAAGCATTGTGTTTAAAAATGCTGTACCTAACATAATTTTTATTATAAATGGATGGAATTAACTTTCTTTGTATCAGCAAAGAGCACAGTGTCACATATTATAATGGAAGTTTGAAAATGTTTATACAAAGAAATATACTCTTTCCTCAATTTTTTTCGTTTAATTTTGATACGTACTGCAAAAATATTTTCCCAGTTCTTCAAAGAGTTGTTCTGCAATTTAAATTAATTTCTGTTGGTAACACTTGACAAATTTTAGCAGACCCTGGTGTCATAAAACAGATGGAAGCAATAAAATCATTTGGTTCTCTGCTGGGAAACCTTACATCTTGTTACACCCTTCAGATTTTCGAATCTTGACTGAAGGACAGAAGAATGAAAGAATGGCTATTCAAGAAAAAGAGCTAGAGGGGTCCCTTCTTCAGTGCTAAGACCTTCTGTTATGGCTGCAAGAGATTATTGCCCTTTGTAGGGTCATAAACAGACAGTTGTATCATGGCTTAGATCTGTTTTCTGTGCGTTCATAGTGACATCAAATTCTGTAGTTTCATTTCAGCCTATATATACATCAAGCAGGTAACAACAAAAAAGTATGTACATCGAATTTTGCTACTTATTTTTAACACATTAATCTGCAGAATCTTCAATAAAAGTACTGGCTCGTGGATGAGTTTGGGCATAACTCATACGTATACTCTTTTTTGTTGTTGTTCACTTAGGTATCATTTTAATTCCTCTATTAGGGTTTTACTCAAGACTGTCTGGTAATTACTACATATAGAAATAAATATTTAGGACTGTGCACGTGTTTCTACTAGCGGCATGTGTGCGCGCTTCCACTAGTGGAGTTTAAATGCCCAACTGGCCAAAATGGGGTACTTTGGCCACGACGACTATATTCATCACTGGCACAAACGGGGCACTTCAGACGTTAAAGGTTAAATAAGCAAGAAATGTTACCTAGTTTATTTGCATATCCTTTACATCAAACTTCAGTAACCATTTGCTCCTCCTAACATAGACGAACATGGGTAAAATTAAAAGGACCCTGCCCCTTCAAACGAAGTATAATGTAGGGAATTCTCATTTACAGTTTAATCCTTCAAAGCATGAAGTTCGACCGAAGAATATTTAAAAATTCAATTTCTACCTCACAAAAAAAATTCTGTAACTCCACTACAATGAACAGCCAATTAATGCTGTTAGGACATTAATTGCCATTTGTTCAGAGAATCATATGAAACACATAAAATAATTCTATGAAAAAAATTCAGTTATTTAATATTAAAGCACGTGGTACATGCAACCACCGTGCTTTAAAGTATTTCCCAAAGTGGGAGCCATGGCCCTCCAGGAAGCAACCAAAAACGCTGACAGACTAATTATAATACTTGTACATAATAAACTGATAAGACATGGCCACATATGTGACAGACACATAATTTAACAAAAAAAGGTATTTCATACATTTAATTATATTTTTAAATTATTAATTAACTTTAAGAAATTTATTAAAAATCTGGGGGCCTCAAACATTTTTGTTCATATCAAGGGAGCCTCAGACTAAACAAAATTTGGGAAAATACCAAGAAAAAACAGGGCTGATGACACCACAAAGTAATGTTTTAAATGTAATCGGCAAACAGATAAATGGAAGACATGTGAAAATGTACAGAATAGTTTATTATAAAAGCTTCAACATATTTATCATGTTGTAACTAGAGACATGCCAGTTGCTGTTGTCTGGTTCCAGAGAAACGAAATTCCCTGCAGTTCTCATTCAGAAAGAGAGATTCAAACTGATTCACTGCAGATAAAAAACTTGAAACATCCAAACCATGTACGAGAGAAATGAGAATGAGAAATTAAGAACTGTTGTGAACTAAGGATCTGAAGCTCTTGTTTCAGCAACTGTACATAGAGTTGCACTTATTTCCAGCAGAACAGTACACCCATATTCACTGCTGAAAATTCATTGAAGACTCTGTGAACCCTGACAATGATAGCGGTCAGCAACTACATATGAAAATCTGTCATTCCTAAAGCAAAGTTATCTTTATGCTTAATTAATTAAGTACTACACTATGAATATGTACAGGGAAGTGGAGGTATAGCTGCACTGTTCTTAACCTAGACACATGACAGAGATGAGTGGTCAAATTCACAACGCTGCTACTTTACCATCAGGGAAACAACACGTGGGACCCGCTGTACAGGAGGCTGTGTGAGCCACAGAGCTGGTCTGAAGGCTTGTAATCTTCTTATCTCTTAAGAAACATAAAGCAGATGCTTACAGGAATGAAGAATACTGACTGTAGCCTCTGGAAATATATATTTGGGACGTTCTTATAAAAATCACAGCAGATTTCAGCTAATTACAGGATAAACAGCATAAATTTGAAATGTGTTTGGATACTGTAAAACATATATTTCAACAGCTCATCTAAATCCAAGGTAAGAACAATGTTTCTATGAACACAATTTAAAATAGTAAAATGATCTCATTCGATTCATGTGCTATAGTACATTTCCTTCCTTATGACTATCCTCAAAGTAGCCGGCATGTTGGAAGCTGGAACACTAATAAGAACACTGCAATCTTTGAAGTGAACCACTCAGCACATCTGGAACTATGAAGACAGAACTAACAGAGCAAGATGGCTGAAGTGGTAATGCCACTAACTTTTGTTCAGAAGGTACCTGACTCCAATTTCAACTGGGACATCCACCATCTTAAGCTGAAGAACGTGAAGAATGGCACCTTCTGGGATGTGGCGCCTTGTAGATCTTGTGTGAACCGACGTTTTCAAGGAATGTATCACCTCCATCTTCAGGGTCGCAGCTGTCTCATTGTTATCCTCAAAGCAAATGCCAGGACAATACCTTGATTCGGGAACAACTGCTTCCTTCCACATCCATTCCAATTCAGTATTCACTGTCAGCCAGTCATTTGGTGTTATATAGTATGACACTAAAAGCATTGTTAAATAAACTACAAATAAACAAGAAGTTCTGGGAAGAACCTTCCTTCGATATGATATTAACCGCATAGAAAACAGATGGATACACAGACAGACAGCAAGGTGATCTCATTAGCCTCTTTTTTACAAAATAAGGGAAGCAGGATAATAAATGAGACAAATAGTTTATGTAAATTAAAGTATGTTGTAAAATGTAAAAAAGTGTTAACTGCGGTGTCAGCAGCCAACCTACATCTCTTTACCGTTCAAAAGACTCATGATTAAAAATGCTAAGATTGAGAGCCGAACTGATATCCATTCTGACAAACCCTTCTCTCTCCACTCTAACCCTTATTTGTAAACTTTTGTACTGAATACTTCAGCAGTGGAACTAGATCATCTGCTGTTAATGATACCCAGTTTCAAGTAGCATCATTAGTGACTTTCACTTAATGAAACAATGTGGAAAACGGGAGAATGAAGTTACTTACAGGTGGCCTGAGAGCATGACACTGTGCTATTATTGCAATCCATAGTTTCCTGTGGATAGTAGATTGCCCATTTTATGAACATCATGGCAACCATGTAAGCAAATAGCAGAAGCAAGAACAATATTTGTGGCACAAATTCCAGAATAATGTATATTGATTTTCGGAAATGTCTGAAACACAGGGCAAGAATACATGGTATCAGTGGTAAGGAATTGCTGTATTAATAATTTGCATGCCAAGCCTCACCACAAAAGTACCAGCTAAAAATACCCATAATAGTTAACTTGGTTCATCCTTGTCTGTCGCACTAGTAACTGTGTATAAGATTTATAACCGCCAATCAGTGTGATTGGTAAAAGCTATGTTTATAATTTTTCATCATTAGAATAATCAGAAACACAAACAAACAATCTGTTTTATGCACTGAGCTCTAATTTGTCAATTTACTGATATTTCCAAAATGTTTACTGCTGCTGCTACATTCAGGAAGTGTAAAAGCCACTAAAAATGATGCACAGAAAAAAATATAAACAACTGAAAAAATCCATATTGTTTTTCTGTGTATATTATGCTTTAGGATTCTTGGACATGGAGCTAAAAACAAATGCATCCACACTCGAGAACTTGTGGATATATTTACTCACATATGGAAATCTGTTACAGATATTGTAACTGTTAACTTACATGTGATTAACAACGCTAAGGCACACTCCAAATATCATGTGGATCACACCAAATATGATGGACAGCTTCATTTTGTATGAATTTAAGAAGATAATCTTGTTAGTAGCTGACTGCAACATGACACAACATAATTCCATCAGTATTGTACTTCAGCATCCTGCTGCACCAGCTGCACTCTGTGTGTGTGTTTCTTGTGTGTTGAATGTTGTATGTGTGTGTGTTGGGGGGGGCAATACAGTCTTCAATGCATCTTTACAAATTATTGGTCAAATCATCACCTAGTCCAGGCTCTCATGTAAATTTAACAGGTACTTTAGTGTAATATTGTATAGCCTGTGGGCGCTGTACATCCAGAAGTTAATTCTTTTAAAAAACCAAATTGGTTCCTGTTAAAATAATTTCATATATTAAATGATTCTAAATTAATTAAAGAAATAATGTAAAATGATGTACTGTGTGTCACCGTTTTCTACTTTTGTGTATTCCGCTTTTTGCAGCAATGTATATTTTGTGGATGGTATCTTGGTTATGCGAGTCCTAGCAGCCAGTGTGAACATGTCACTAAATTTAAGTGAAAGCATGGACTAAGTGGTGACATGACAGATAATCTGTGAAGTTGCATTGATGACCCGTACTGCATATGGTGGTAATTCCATGAACTTCACTTCAGAATAATTTTTTCAACTGCCTACCCAAAATACCAGCCATCTGCACGAAGTGGTAACTTTAGAAGAAACTCATTTTCATAACTGCAATTCATTTTTAGGTGCAGTCACATAATTCTAGTGCATTTATTAAAACTGCCCTGTCTGTCTGACAGTAAATAACTCAAGCAGAAGACAACATATTTTCATGAAATATGATAATGGGGAAGATTAACGGTTGTGGGGATTCGTTGCACTGACCACGCGACACCCTCTATCCGCAAAAGTTGGCACTAAACTTCGCAGACAAGCGGCGGTCGCTCAATTGGTATAGTTCGCTTGCGAACTAAAATCACAGAGTTTGTTTTTTGTTTTTATGATAATGGGGAAGTGCAACAGAATGTGTTGACACGTTCCAATTTTGACTAAAATCACACAAAATAAATGTAACTTTTTACATGAAGGCCTACATGTGTGTCTGCCTGCACCTTGAGAAATATGAATGCCTCAGAACTGCTATTCTGTGTGTACATTCCAAACTGGTATATTCAACAATCAACAATGTCCATCTGAACACATGCAAAGATTATCTGTCTCTTAATGTTGACACATTAATTAAACGAATCTTTCTCCCACCTGAATTTACACGTCTACATATACTTGTATATAAATGACTGATTAAGATATCTGAACATGCTGCTATAATTGTGACTTCGTTAAAATTTAAACCTGTTTCTTCCAAGATAATTCTAAATAAATGAGAGTGTCCATGATTTATTCTAACCGTCTTACAGTGCATACATTTATTCACCTTACTCTTCTTCAGTGCAACATGACGCTAAAATATAACATTATTAAATGAGAGTGAATGCATCAGAATTATTACTTTCTGTGTACCTATCCTATCTTGTTTTATTTGGTAATGGAAATTAAAAACAGTATTACAGCCCACTGATCAGTAGGCAGAACAATTCAATCCATAATACATCACACTTTATTATGCAGTAGGACAGTTGTGGGAACATCCCACATACTTACATGCTGTTTCGCCAGTCTAACAGACAACACTCACTCCTAAGTCAAAATCACATTGCCGCACATTGCGCTCATATTTAACAGTACTTGACGTCCAACCCACCTCTAGATCATCAAGTGCGCTAAGCAATCACATTTCTGGCAGCACTCGTATTTATACAGCACTCGCTGTCCAGCCCACATTTAGATCATAACATGCGCTAGCCAATCAACGCTCACAATCGCAACTGCAAGTTTCGCTCCGCCCATCAAGCATGGTATAAAAGGCAAAGCCCAAAGCTTGCAATCATCAGTGATCATATTCAGTTCAGAGCGATCAGTCATCAGAGTCATCAGCTCTTCTCTGCGACCAGGCAACCGACGTAGTTGCCGCAACTCTCCAGCGACCACGCTCTGCGACCAGGCAACTAACGCAGCTTCCACAACTCCAGCAACCACACCGTGGGCAGCTCTTTCTACCGGCGCATGCAGCACTACATCACCGGCCAGACAGGCCAGCTGAACGGCCGTAAAACTTGGCCTACTATGAAGTAACAAATGGCCCTTTTCAGGGCCCACAAACTTTCCAAAGTGGTTGTCTATTGGAACCTCGACAATCCCACACAGTTTTACTCATAACAGTGAAAGGGCTAAGAATATAACTCCAGTGGGCCACATTAAAAAATCTTTGCCAACATTTCTCATACAAAAGTCTAGATAAAAATTAAATAATTTCTACATCAAAAAAATTTACTCTACCTGACTATATGTAACCTATGTACATTTTCTCTTAATATGTTTCACATTTTTCAGTCTTTTTCTATATAAATCTACCAATGCATTCAATTTACTTCAAAGTAATAAAAAAATATACAGTTAAACAAAGTATCTGATGATTATATTCATGTCTACAATTTCTACTAATTTTTGTTAATGACATGTAGGGTATGGTCTTCCGCTTTGTTATTCCATGATCTTTGGCAGAAGTTCACAGACATTTTGAAAGAATACAACTTGCTACCCGTTTGGCCTACACTTTAACCCCTAAGATGTAGGCAATATGTTTCTCTGAACGTCAGTAGACTTGTAGAAAACTGCATGACATTACAACCCAGAAGCTCAAATTCTTCACAGCCACTGCTGTGAGAAACTTTAATCTAACTTTTGTAATGACAGTTCATTCCCCACTTATCACAATTCTTTATCTCTTTCGAGAAATCTCTTGTTCTCTTCCTTAAATTTACTTTATTTTACTTCTAAACTGGTGGTGTAGGGAGCAGTAGAAACATACTTGGAATTATCATCCTGTAAATTTTAGGGCACACTTTTATGTGGGATATACATAGCAGAGGATAGTCTACCTAATCCTCAACATACATGTATTATGTTAACTGTACCAAGGATGAAGAAAGCTGAAGACAGCCACAGTAAGAATATTACCTGCCAAATAGGATCCAATCCCAGAGGATAAGGAGATGCTCTGAATTTGGCAAAGTTGGTATATGGGCTCAGAGTCAATTCTACATTTTCCTTTATGTCTTCAATGGTATAGCCATCTATTTTCCAACTGGAGCCAAAGATATTGACTGATCTGGAGAATATATCATTGTAAATAATTCCAGTGTAAACTGAGAAGAGCCCCATTAACAGGATGATGTAACGGCCAGAAAAAAAGATGTTCCATATCTGACACAACAAAATAACATTCAGTAATTAACCCATGAAGTAGAGTCCTAAACATGCCAACAGTTGCTCAAATAATCAGGAAATTCCCTACCTTTTACAGAACAGCAAGGTTCATTGCTGTATTAAGAATATCCTGCTACTGGGCCCTAATTTCAGCTAGAATAATCCAGTCCATATGTTCACACTTTTCTTTTGTTAGGATTTATTTTATTATTACCTTCCCATCTGTGCCTAGGCCTTCTTACTGAGCATTATTGTTATAGTTGTGTTGACTGCCCCATTTGAAAGTATATTTACTTGTGCCATAAGATGTTTCCTCACCAGCAAATCTAGCCCATGATGGCTATGAGATCATGCATATATGGCAGTTAATGGCAGTCATTTGCTCAGTTAATGTGCAATTGGCAACAGACTGCAATTACAAAATGCTGTACCTTCAGGACGTGAGAATCACTGAAGTGGCTGCTACATGTATCACAGAACTACAGAACAGATTCAGTGGGCAGATAAACATGGCACTTATGAACTGAAATATGGAAGTTACATGGTGGGAAGCACACTGTTCACGTGTAGGCAATACTTTCATACCATTTAGTTCCTCACTATTTCGTTTCATCTCAATAAATAACATTGCTATGGTTGAGAAGGCAAAGATGTCATTGTGCTTATTTAAGCAGCACACCATGAAGAAATATGGGGAGTGTAGGTATAGCTGCACCATTCTTGACCATGGCACTAGATGGAGGTGAGTGGTCAGCTTCAAGCCACGGCTGGTTTAGCCCCAAGGAAAGAGCTTCCAGTACTCACTGGATAGGAGGCTGGGTAGGCTTCAGAACTGGCTTGGATGTGATGTTGAAGAGAAACATCTCTTGCCAGTGTGCATGCTGTAAATGTACTTTTTCCACCTCCCTTCTCACTTTGATTGTTTTAGTGTCTCATTTTTCATACTCAATAATGCATTCATTTTTCAAAAACTAAAGACAACTATCTCTGGAATGTGACACTGTGTAGTCCTACAGAAGCTCACCAGTGTTTCAGAACAACAAACTACCTCCATCTTCAGGGTTTAAGTGTAAGCCAATCAAGAAATCAACAAGCAGAACCTGCTCAATCAACTTGCTATCTTCATCTTTGCTGGTTGCTTGTCTGGTTTACCCTTCAACCCTGAAGATGGAGACAGTATGTTCCTTGAAAGATCAAAGAACTTCTACTGCACTACATGATGTCACATCCCTGAAAACACTGCTCTTCACAGTGACTGCTGTCACAAGATCACGAGCTGTTCATATATAAGTCCTGGATTAATTTACTTGTTACTGATTTTAGCATTATGTGAATTATCTTAATATTCAAAATGCATCCCATTTACATGTTAGTACATTCTTGAGGAGCTGGACTGCTCAGTCAATACAGTAACCAGGCAACAGGTTGGATGACTAGAGAACTGAGGTTTGATTCCTGGCAGGGGAACAGATATTTTTCTTCGCCACGATGTCCTGACTGGTTCTGGGACCTATTCAGCCTCCTTTATAATGACTATCAGGGGCTCCTTCATGGGTAAAGCAGCTGGGGTGTGAAGATGACCACTCACCTCGTAGCTCATGCTGACAGTTAAGAGAGACTAGAGCTACACCTTATAAGATGCCAAGGCTCACAAGTAGGCTGCAGTGCCATTTCTATGGGCTCCTACTTTCACATATTAATTGTATAAGAAAGTACTGTGATGTCCAAACAAATGAATCTTGAGAATTTGTAATATTTATATGTTTTCAGCCTCCATGAATATAAAAAGTGGTTTTTGGAGTGCTGTGTTTGTGTGTGTGTTAACATGGAGGGATAAAAACCACATAAATTGCATCATATATAAAAAGTGTTAAATATAAGACAAGGGAAGTTGCAGCAATAACATTTTATATATAAAAGTCATTTAAATATGAACATACACTATTGAAGTACAAACACCGAAAAAATGAAAGGCACAAAAAATGGAAACTGCAGAGACGAGAACATATTTAATTTAATTAATAAAATTATGACTATCAAAAATATAACTAGACAAATACAAAAATAATGGAACCCTGGAAATTACTAGCGGAAAAGCTTGTCGAAATTCAACAGGGAAATCACTTCATCCATAACTTCAACCTTCACCCCTTTTACTTTCCTTTATGCTTTTCATAACTTTATCTCATTCCTAATTTTCTCCATTAAAACTCTAAATTGATTTACTTCTTTATCCTTCAGATGGCACAGCTTTGAACATCAAGATGCCACTTGGGTAGACGAAAAATTACTAGTTAGAATACAACATAACATATACACACATAGTCTGGTAACACATACATAGTCATAAACAGTCTCCTACTATAGTGTGTGTTTGTGTGCTTGTGCTAATTCAAATACAGTTAATCTGGAAGTCAGATAAACTGGATCAAAACATAAGAAACGAAAAATTCTGTTCACAGTTGAATACATGTTTTAAAAAGGCATGTGTCTCTTAGAAGTAAGAGAACTTTCAGACTGTGTTGAGGGCAAATAAAGTGACTGAAACCATGCAACTAAACATCTGAGATTGGTTTGAGCTTCGGACAGAGGTAGAAATTGCTGCAGATTTTATTAAGGATTCTACTATTGAAGAGGAATCAGATAACAAACTGGATTAAACTACAAGAATCTATTCTATTTATTTGTTTTCTAGCTTTTTTGTCTTGTAGGGCTATATTTAGATTTATTAATCTGAAATATCGCTTAATCCAAATGACTTCTCCCCCCAATTAATCTAGAATAGCAAGAATTTAGTGTATATAATTTTAAAGGATAAAGACTCATTGGGTGACCATCCATCTAATCAGCTGAAGGATGGAATGGACCTAAATGCCAAGTCCTCAAGTAAATCTTTCCTTGTGGGTTACTTTACAGTGCTATCAGTATCTAGACACAGAGAAAACTAAGTATATGTTGTTGTCTTGTTACTAGAATGCAGAACAAAATCATAACATAAGACAGCTAATGGATCCTTGGAAGATGTGGTAAAACATTGTACTAGGGAATAACAGTAACATATCAAAATACGATTAAGGGGGAAATAAAGAGCAGATTGAATTAAGGTAATTCTTGCTACCATCCAATTCAGAACCTTTGTCTTCTCGCCTGCTGCCTGAAACTTAAAGATTAAAATACACAAAACTACAAATTTTCCTCTGCATTTGTATGGGTATAAAACTCGGTTTCTAACACTGACGAACATAAACTGAGGGTGTTTGAGAAAAGGGTAGTGAGAAGAATACCTGGACCCAAGACAGATGAAATAGCAGAAGACTGGAGAAAATTTCATAAAAAGGAGATTCATACCTTATACTCCTCACCAAATATAATCAGAACAATCAAACAAAGGAGAATTAGATGGGCAGGGCATGTAGCACGCATGGCAGAGCAGCATATGCAGGGTTTTGATAGGAAAACGTGAAGAAAAGAAACCACCATGAAAACCTTGATGTAGATGAGAGCTAAATATTGAAATGGACCGTAGAGAGATAGGATGGAGCAGCATGGACTCATCTGACTCAGGATAGAGAGGTGGTCTCTTGTGAACACAGTTATGAACTTTTGGGTTCCATAAAAATTTTGGGAATTAAGAAAGAGTGGCCAAGCAGGTGTTGACTTCTAGAGAAGGAATTCAGTTCCATGTACCAATATCTAGACTAGACAATGTTGAATGATAAGATTACTGGTGAGAGAGGAAACAGTTCAGTAGGAAGCATTTATGACATAGCCAAGGTCCTACCCTGGCATTTGCCTACAGGTACAGGGGAAATCATGATAATCCTAAGTCAGGAGAGATGATGTTCTGAGTGAGATTCAAACCTATAACCTGCTACATACAAATCAACCTCTACCGCCAGACTTCTGAAATGGTGGTAAGCTTGAGCTGGCTGGAGTTCATTTAAATGCCTGCTGCTGGTGCACATTTAAATGCCCGTTACTACTCTGTGTTTAAATGTTCGTTCCTGTTAGGGCGCTTAAACAATTTTAAGCATTGCGTTTTAAAATGCTGTATCTACCTCAATTTTTATGATAAGTGGAGGGAATTAACTTTGTTTTTATCAGCAAAGAAAAAAGTGTCACATATTATAACAGAAGATTTGAAAATTTTTATACAAAGAGTTATGCTCTGTTTTCATTTTTTTTTCCTTTTAATTTTGATGCATACTGCAAAAATGGTTTCCCAGTTCTTGACAGAGTTGTTCTGCATTATAAATTCATTTCTGTTTGTAACACTTGACAAATTTTAGCAGATCCTGGTGTCATAAAACAGATGGAAGCAATAAAATCATTTGGTTCTCTGCTGGAAAACCTTACATCTTGTTATACCCTTCAGATTTTCGAATCCTTTGACTAAAAGACAGAAGAATGAAAGAATGACTATTCAAGAAAAAGAGCTAGAGGGGTCACTTCTTCAGTGCTAAGACCTTCTGTTATAGCTGCAAGAGATTATTGCCCTTTCTATGGTCGTGAACAGACAGCTGCATCACGGCTGAGATACAGAGTGCGATCTGTTTTCTGCGCGTTCATAGTGAAATCGAATGCCATAATTTCATTTCAGCCTATATATGTATACATCATATACTCGTATACATCAAGCAGATAACAACGAAAGAGGTATGTACATCGAATTTTACTATATATTTTTGGCATAACTCATAGGTATATCCTTTTTTTGCTGTTGTTCACCTAGGTATCATTTTAATTCCTCTATTATGGTTTTACTCAAGTCTGTCTGGTAATTACTATATTTAAAAATAAATATTTAGGACTGTGCATGCACTTCTACTAGAAGCGTGTGCGTGCGTTTCCACTAGCGGAGTTTAAATGCTTGACAGGGTACTTTGGCCACGACGACCATATTCATCACTGGCCCCAACGGGGCACTTTGGCATTTAAAGGTTAAACCAGCCTGCTGAATCTTGACACAGATTACAATAAGAAGAGAAGAGGGGTCAATATATCTGCCCATGACTGCACATTGTAATCCTTAACAGAAAACTGGGATGATTCAGAGGTAAGAAGTCCCAGTTACCTCACTACTTGACTTCTTCTTCATTAATTTCTTCTCGCCAATGACCATGTACATTCCAAATGCTGTCAGGATGAGACCATGACCAGCATCACCGAACATAATGGCGAATAGAAATGGGAATGTGATGATTGTATACAGTGCTGTAACAGACAAATATGTAACAATTAGAAAAGAAGACCAGAACAAGAACACAACAATGATAATAATAATTCAGAAATCTTTCAGTGGTGATGCTGGACTTGAGGATCTTACAGCAGTTACTAAGAAAGGTACAGTCTTCTGGGTTGTCATGTCATGTAGTTCAGTAAAAGCCCCACATTTTTGTACAATATATCACCTCCATGCTCATGGTCTAAGAGTGAGCCAAATAAGAGTGGCCACAGCTCAGGCGGTTAGCTGCCAGCTTCCCACCATGGTGGTACACATCCTTTATAACAATTCATATGGGATTTATGGTGGTCAAAGTGGCACTGAGGCATGTTTTCTTTTAGTACTATGGGTCACTTAATTCCCATCAAAATTATTACTTTCAGAAACTCATATTTAGTATATATACTGTAATTAATATACATATGATGTAAAAGTAAGTAAAGTGAAGGTATCCCTGTAAGAGGCCGTGGAGGCCCATACGGTTGTGATATGTTGAGGTTCCAACATTCTCCAAACAATCGGCTCATAGATGGCGGCAAAGTTGTCAGCCCTTTACCCCCAAGAATATTCCAAGAATATCCCTGGTACTCATTTCTATTAGAGGCTGAGTCAACCCCAGGGGCATAGTGTGGCTGGAAGGATTGGGTCAATTGGAAAAAATCCAATGATTTCATCGGAACTTGAACCCGCAACCTTCCGGCTTGTAGCATATTGTCTCAACCAATGACACTACCGCGTGCCCCAACATACAGATGTTCAGATTATAAAATTTGATTCAGGAGCTAATTATGAGCAGATTGAATTTGGGTAATGCTTGCTATCATTCAGTCCAGCACATTCTGTCTTCTGGTCTGCTGGCTAAAAACATAAAAATCAGCATATACAAAACTATAATTTTGCCTGCGGTTCTGTATGGATGTGAAACTTGGTATCTGACATTAAGGGAGAAACACAGACTAAAGCTGTTTGAGTACAAGGTACTGAGGAAAAATATATGGACTGAAGAGGGATGAAGTGATGGGAGGTTGGAGAAAACTGCATAATTTGGAGCTTCATAACTTGTACTCTTCGCCAAGTATAATTAGAATGATCAAGTCAAGGAGGATGAGATATGCAGGGCAAACAGCACAAATGGGGGAAAGAGGATTGCATATAGGATACTGCTGGAAAAGCCAAAAAGAAAGAGACCACTAGGATTACCAAGATGTAGGTGGGTAAAGAATATTAAAATGAATCTTAGACAGGATGGGGTGGTATGGTCTGGACCGACCTGGCTCAGGATAGGGACCAGTGAAGGGTTCTTGTGAACATGGTAAGGAACCTTTGGGTTCCATAAAATGTTCGGATGTTCTTCAGTAGCTGGATAATTGCCATCTTCTCTAGAAGGGCTCAGATCATTGAAGTTAGTTTAGTTAGTTATTATGAGATTATAATGAAGTAATATGTACACAAAAACTACTAACAGACCTTATAGGGTTTGAGGTTCTCACAGCAGCAGTTATGATGAGTTATATCTTCTGGGATATCATGCCACTGGAAGTCAACCAACATTCTGGAGGAACATGTCTCCGCCATCTTCAGGGTTAAAGAATAAGCCAAGCAAAGAACAAGCATGAAGCAGGTAGCAAACAGAGATTTCTATCAACATCTCAGAAGAACATGTTGTCTCCATCTTCAAGGTTGAAGAATAAGCCAAGCAAGACACCAGCATGGAGCAGAGCCGCTTGCTGCCTGCTTCATGCTGATCTTTCACTTGGCTTATTCTTCAACCTTGAAGATGGAGGCGACATGTTCCTCTAACACATCAGTTGACTTTCAAGACTACTTGGCTTTATATCCCAGAAGACAGAACTCTTCATATCAGCATTTCTTTTGAAGTGACTAATATCCATACCAGTGTAACACAGCAGAGGAAGAAACACCCATTAACTAACCTAGGGAACTTGGATGAAACACCACTGAATTTTGATTCAGTTATAAGGCTTTGGAAATAAAAGGAACAACTGCTATAGTAAAAACAGGACATGAAAAAATTAGATTTACAGTGGTACTATGAAACATGGAAGATCGAACTCAACCCAGTGAACATATTAAAGAGAAATACAAAAACAAAACTCCGTAGCTTGAGTCCGCAAGCAAAATACCGACCAAGCGACCGCCTCTTGTCAGCGAAGTTAGTGCCAACTTTAACGAATATAGGGTGTTGTGTGGTCAGCACAACAGATCCCCACGGCCAGTAATTTCGGTTTTCTAGACCGGAGCCGCCATTTCCTTTAAATAGCTCCTGAATTATCCTCACAATGCTGAGTGGACCAGTTCTTGACCCACTACTTCTCAGAGAATCTGGTAGTGTCGGGAATCGAACTCAGACCTCTGGATCTGTAGCCAGGAACTCTGACCACTGACCACCGAGGCGATCATGAAAGAGAAATACACCATCAAAAATCAAGTTCACTGCTAGAGTTTACGTTCATGTACAAGAAAATCGATGAATGGCTTATTGCTTCATAATGTATGGAATAGGTGACCCAGTGGTTTCCAAAATCTGTATAGGGTACTGGTATGGAATATGTTCAAGTCATACAAAACTAAGAACACAAATATATGCCTGGCAAGAAACAACACTAACATGATAGTTATCCCTGGAGGCTTAATACATGTATTACTAACACGACTGATGGATGTATGTCGCAGGAAGCCTTTCAAGGACCATGTTCTTGTTTTTGGAACAAACAGATTCTTATCAGTGAAAAGTCATTCACAAAAGGCAGGTGCTGCTGCTTCATTGGTTGCACCATGTGAATTTAACATTAAAGAAAGTCATCAAGTCTTTCAAATAGTGTACTACATCAAATTTCATGGATGGCAGAGAGCACGATGAGGGTAAAGCCAGAGTTGAAGCCACAGCATCTGATTCAGAGTTTCATTCATATGATGATTTATTGACAAATGTATCAAAGAAAGTACTTCATGAACTTCTAATGCCAGACTTTCATGAGGAGGATTTTGAAGGATATGAACAAACAAAAAAGAAATATTTTAATGGTCAACTTATCTGGCAAATATATCCCAAAATTCCATTTTAAATGGAAAATTGGAAAGCCATCTTATAAACTAGTACATAAAGTACATGTAGATGTTTCTCGTAAAATACTGGTAGAAACAGGTCATTAGCCTGAACCGGATTTACCCTGTTGGAATTCTGTAGTAAGCATTGTCCTCAGTCAAGAGATTCAACTGCGACTTGGAGTGGATTTGTATCTTTGCAGAATGTCTCTTAATAAAATGGTGACATCATGCAGACTGAATTACTGACCTGGGTTAACCTCCCTATAGCTGGAAACACCATATGAATCAATAAGATTCTGGAAACCCCGTGTAAATTTATTGGTGCGATTGAACGTAGGTGGTGCTTCTGAAGTTTCGATCACATTCAGGAATGAGGGAATTGAACTGCCACTAGCCCTCTGTAAACATGAAAGTTAAATTCATGATAGACGATGATAAACGTTCAAGTGGAATATTATCAGGGATTAGAATATATTAGACCTAAAATTAGCCCTCAGGCAGTACCATGCTTTATATGAGGCACAGTACTTTGCTTGATATGTCATTCTGATAATAACCTGGCTTCAAGAAATAGTAGCAAGTGTTAAAGTATTTATGCTTTGCATGCCACAAGCCCATTAGACTGAAATACACAGCCTCAGAAAAAGAGACTGGGTCACTGAACAATTAGTACAGACATCCTCGTCAACAGATGGCAACAAATGTGACATACCAATGTTTAGAGGAAAGAACAGGCTTTCAGAGGCTCTGTGCCTGTGAATGTTTCAAGTTCATTTGAGGTAGTGCTTTAGGTTTTTTTCTGTAACTGCATTTGCCCTAAAGAGGGGTTAACTGAGGCAGGGACATAAGTCACATAGGATGTGTGTGGCTGTGGGCAGGGTTTAGTCAAATAACAAAATTTCTGATATTTTAATCAATGATATTCTGATTAAAAATGCATTAGAAATTTGTCTTGTAAATATCTTAGACCATAGCTTTACCATGCAAAAGTATATAACTATAAAAGTATGTCCAGTTATTGTTCTACTAGCCTAAAGCCTGTTTAAATTTCAACAGAAAACTGTTGTGGTTATCAACATCATACTTGGTACTTGTTTCATCATGATCCACAGTTACTCATAATAACCCTTTAAAGAAAATGTGAGATCACAATGTAACTCAATATGAAAGTAATACACTTGAAAATTCTGAACAGGTACATTTATACAAAGATATTACATCTGTTAAAATGACAAATACAAACAACAAACTCAGTGATTTTTATTTTATTATTATTATTAGAGGGGGTGGGTTTCCCCATGCACCGCGATCAGTTTGATCTATTGTACGTCCCCCTGTGATATTCTACCAGTCTCTATACCCTACCGGTACTGGTGCGTGCCATCAGTCCCGACTCAGCCAGCGAGTTCGGCCTCTACTGGCTCAGCAGTATCTAGATGCTTCCCACATCTACCAAAGGCGTTAGAGACTACTGTTGGGCGGGAAATGTCCTTCAATTTGGCTCAGAGGTCTCCTTGAGACATGAGGTTCTTTTACGTGTCGTAAAGCTACGACACGGGACCCACGGCTTAAAGTCCCTCCCGGAGGACTTGTTCTCTGAATTTTTCCGCCCTTAAAAATTTCCTCGACCTCCGCCGGGTTTGAACCCGCGTACCTTGAGTCATGAGGTGGGAACGTTACCCCTAGACTACGGAGGCCGCTAACTCAGTGATTTTAGTCCGCAAGTGAACTATACCAACAAAGCGACCGCCGCTTGTCGGCAAGGGTGTCGCGTGGTCAGGGCAACCAATCCCCACGGCCGTTAATTTCGGTTCTCTAGACCGGAGACGCTATTTGTTTGAAATAGCTCCTCAATTATCATGAGGCTGAGATGATCCCAGACTCACTACTTCTCAGAAAACAATCTGGTAGCTCCGGGAATCGAACCCGGACCTCTGGATATGTAGCCAGGAACTCTGACCACTAGACCTCAGAGGCGGTTCCTGTTAAAATGACAATATGCACTAAACAGTGCTGAGTTGATCCCATTCCAGACCCACTACTTCTCAGAAAAAAATATGGTAGCTCCGGGAATCGAACCCGGACCTCTGGATATGTAGCCAGGAACTCTGACCACTAGACCTCAGACGCGATTCCTATTAAAATGACAATATGCACTAAACAGTGCTGCTATCTAAAGGTATACAACTAACATTTACAGCAAAGGTGAATGCTGCACTATCATCTGATCATACCTTCCACTGCTGTCTTCCCTTCATATTCCTAACTACTACCAACTCTGACATGATAAAAAAATGAGAAAACAGCAAGGGTGATACAGAGTGATAAATAAGGGTTACAGGCTTTAAGGGGGTATAGAGCTCACTTAAATGAGCATACAAAGTCCCAGTCAACATACGTAGATCATACTGAATGTCATGAGCAACTGTTTTTTTGCATGCAACCTGGGAACAGCAGACGAAAGAGAGTATGGTGGTAGGTGGAACCAGATGCTGTGTTAACCTTGAGTGTCTTGTGACGTCAATAGCTTGCATCACGTGACCAGTATCACTCCTGACAAAATGCCCGACAATGATATGTCGTTTCGCCAGCGTGCTGTCATTGAATTTCTTGTGAAAGAGGAAATCCCTGCTGCAGAACTTTACCAGAGACTTCAGCATGCTTATGAAAGTGTGTGCATAGGTGCGAGCAGTGTTCGAAGATGGGTGAAACATTTTAAAGATGGGACCACCAGCATCGAAGATGAGCCTCAGAGGCGTCGTCCACAAACAGCCTCAACTGAACGCAACAAGGAAAGAGTGGATGAGATCATTCAAGATGACAGGCGTGTGACTATGGACACAACAGCCCAAAAACTTGAAATTGGGCACAGTGCAGTACAGGAGATGATTGAAAGCTTGAGCTACAGGAAAGTTTGTGCTCGTTGGGTCCCGCGGTTATTGACCGAAGACCATAAAGATCAGCACCTCACAACTGCTGCAGAGATATCGATAAAAAGGCGATGATTTTTTGCTCTGTATTATGACAGGTGATGAAAGCCAGTTTCACCATTTTGAGCCTGAAATGAAACGGCAGAATATGGAACGGCACCATTTGCATTCTCCATTAAAAAAGAAGGCAAAGACAGTGCCATCAGCTGCGAAGGTTATGGGCACAGTCTTCTGGGATGCAGAGGGGTTTATTCTGGCCGAATTCCTGGAACCTGGGCAAACCATCAATGCTGCTTGTTATGTCCAGATGCTGCACAAGCTCTGTCGTGCATTGCGTGATAAACATCCAGGATGAAACATCATCATCCTGCATGACAACGCTCGCCCCCACGCCGCTCGCCTCACATTGGAAGCAACTGCAAAGATGGGGTGGGAAGTTCTTCCACACCCCTCCTATAGCCCTGATCTGGCACCCTCTGACTACCATCTTTTCGGATTTGTGAAGGATCAGCTGCATGGACAGCGTTTTGAGAAAAGGGAGGCAATTCAGAAAGCAGTGCGTCAGTGTCTTGGGATGGCTGGAACGGAATTTTACAGAAGGGGAATTTTCAAACTCCCAGAACACTAGAAGAAATGTGTACAAAGAAGTGGCAATTATGTGGAAAAAAAAAGAAAGGTCTGTAGATTGAAGTGGTGTATTTGGTTTGTCAATAATAAAGCATGTTACTTCACAAAGAATTGTTGCTCATGGCTTTCAGTACGACCCTCGTACAAGAATGCCCAGAAACCAATGCCTGCTGAGACATGGGTGAGTTTTGCATCTGACTGGATACTAGGATAACACTTCAGTATACATTAAGAGGTCAGTGCATGTCATGTACATCTGTTTACCTTTCTCTTGAAGGTGTTCTGAATGTCTCAGTGGAATTTGTGGATGTACTACTTACATAATACTAAGGAAAAAGCAGAGATAGCTGGTGTCACAACATTCATTTGATTTGAAATCCGCTCAGTGGTTTTCTAATGGAATCTTCTTACTCTGCCCTGGAAATGGCACATATGCATTTTGTGTATGGCCATTCCAATGAAAATTCTTAGGAAGTGCAGTGCCTCTATGCAAAATACATTATGCACAACACTGAATACCATCTCACAAATTATCCACCCAATTTCACCAGCAACCGAGGGAATCTGGGTCAATCGGGGTCCTTTTTTCCATGGGCATTGAATTGTGGAAGGCCTCGATCAATCCGAACTCCTGATATGGAAGTCGTTTGTGTTGAGAAGAGTACAAGAAGATCCCAGAATCAGCATGCAAAGAACTGCAGCTGCTGAAGGTATCAGTGTTCCCCTTGTCTAGAGAACTCTCCATAAACGATTGCTTTATCCGCACAACATCTGGCAAAGGCAAGCCCACACTCATCTATTTATTTATTTATTTCGTCTCTATAGATCATTGTTACATGATACAGGACAAGTCAGTTACTGCACATTGGCTGATTACAATAAGAGAATAAAGTTACAATACTTACAATTGTTTACAATAGATTACAGTAGATTACAATAGTTAAGATTTCATATAGTGTGAGGTGGAATCCATATTAGGTCCCCTCGGCATGTCGGCTTCCATATGTCCTATTGTACCAGTATTGGTGATAATGCTTATGGAGAATTTGATGGAATGACCATCATGCAAGGGCAGTGTTTTGAGAGTGACTTCTTGCAAAATGCTTTGTAAGGGCAGTGTTTTGAGAGTGACTTCTTGCAAAATGCTTTGTAAACACATTGTTTGTTGCAAACATCCTGTTTACTGATGAGACAGGAGCTTCCAAAATACCCATGTCTGCATGAATCAGCGTCAATAGTCCATCAATGTCTGTGTGAGCAACTCAAGTGACCAACTCTTAGACCCAGTTGCCTTACCTAATAGACTAATAGGTGCAGTTAACACAGTATTTTGGCGAATGGTTTATCAGTACTCTTGGAACATGTACCTCTTCATCAACGACAACACATGTGGTTCATACATGATGGGGCACCAACTCATTTGCTCCACATTGCCACACAGCACTTGAACCAGACTTCCAGTGTACAATGGATAGGATGCAGAGGCCCAGTCTACTGGCCTGCATGATCTCCTGACCTTAATCTTCTGGATTTTTGGTTGTGGGGACACCTGAAGACTTTGGCGCATTCAGCAAAGAACAATGACTTAGAGACATTACAGCAATGAGTAGAGAACGCCTGTCAGGAGATTCAAGTGAAACCAGGATTTTTTACTCAGTATGCACCTCAGTGAAATGAAGGGCTGAAAGTTCTGTTGAAATGCACAGGAACCACACAGAATTTCTGCTGTAGAGATCGTAGAGATCACACGAAAATCAAACATACAATGACATCCATAACCCAATATTCAAGGTAAAGCAGGAATTAAACACCAGAGAGCACATTATAAAAAAAAAAAGAAC